GACGTACCTCATGATCGAGGAGATCAACTCGGACTTGAGCGAGCCCCAGCTGCTCAGCCACTTCCCCGTCACCAACACGGTCAAGGACCTCAAGATGGCTATCGCGAGGATGATGGGCGAAGCGACCGAGTGGGACTCGGTCATGGTGGTGTTTGTGGGCGAGGTGCTCGAGGACAGTGAGTGCTGCAGATCACGGAGCCTTGCGCTGCCAACCCCCGACTTGTCACTAACCGGAAAAAGACAGCAAGCAGCTCTCGTTTCACAAGGTCCAAAATGTATGAGAAAGACATCAAATCCCCCAGCCTATCGACAGCCCTGATGGCCCCTTTTATTCTGACCTTGATTTGTTGCTGCAAAACAGGGCGACACCATCTTCTTCGTGCGCAGCGTCGAGCCGCCGCCGCCCTACGATCCGTCCCGAGACATCAAGGACCCTCTCGCCGAGAAGCCGCCGCTGCAGCAGCAGCCCGCACGGCCGACGCCGGCGGCGCCAGCCGGCGCAGCGGGGATCGTGCTCAAGACGGTCTTCTTCCGCAACATCGAGGGCCGCTCCATGACGCTCGAGGACCTGTCCATCACCATGACCATTGCCGCCGTCAAGGCGAAGCTGGCGGCCGAGAAGAACATGGAGAACAACGACACGATCCGCTTCATCTGGGGCGGCAAGACGCTGGAGAACCGTGAGTTTTTTCTTTGAGCAATGGACTGGCTTGGTGCTGACTGTGTCGTCCTGTTGCAGACCGGACGCTGATGGACTACAATATCGGCAATGTGAGCTTCCCCTTCTTCTCCACAAGTCACGCACAGATCGCTAACCTACCTCCCCGGATATCAGAACAGCACCATCGAGATTGTGTGGCGGTTGCCCGGCGGGGCGGAGTGACGGGGATAATACGGGGTGCAGGCTCGTGCTACATCGGAAGGGCCAGCTTGCCGGGTGCCGAGTTTCCTTTCCTTTTCTCTCTTCTCGCTGTCTGCGGGATGAGTCTGTATGAACACACGCGGGACACAAGTTCGTCCGGACAATGTTTTGAGCCAATGACCCTACGCCAAGCCCAAATTCCATCCGTTTGCCCCGCCATCTTATGCACGGTGTGTTTTTCGCGCGTTTTCGAGCTTCTTGACCAGAGCCTCGTTGGGGGATGAGTCGTCCATGGTGAGTGTGCTATTCTCAGGGTTTAAATAGCGCAAGGCTCCCAGATCTGCAGTGACCAGCCCCACAGGATGACTGCGGTACTGAAGTTCCCCAGCCAAGGCGGCTTTGGGTTTCACGCCCAGGTATTCCTATTTTGGGCTAGTTCACTTGATGACGCCGTTGTCCGTCAGGGGGAAGCTGTTTCCAAGTAACATGACTTCAACTACGAGTTCAATAACGATGCAACCATCGATGAATCTATGAAGGACAAGTATCACACCGCCTAGACCATTCTTTAAATCTTTCATAAAACAGTGGCGTCGTTGTCACGAGAATGGCGGAGTCTTGCACCGTTCAGTTATGTGTTTATATGGGCCATTGCTATCCTTGCTGCTGCAGCATTTAAGAATTATCTTGTGTTGGATACAAACTAATTAGCAGAAAAGAACCACTCTTGTTCATATGGAAAAACTTTTCGTCGGAACCCTCAGTTGGTATGTTGCCGCAAAGGTAGGTAAACCAGTCCGTTAATGGCTCCAAACCTTCACCCAAGTCATGCGTCGTCGAGATCGTCCCAGTCTGAGTCCACCCGTACCGGGGACGGCGCGACATCGCACCGCGTATAATACTCATTATCGTCATCGTCGTCATCATCATCATCATCATCATCGTCGTCGTCCTCATCCTCATCCTCATCCTCACCCTCACCACTACTGCTGCTTGAACTAACACCCTCGCCAACAAGCTCCTCAACGGCCTTGGCAACCAACAGTCCCACCACCCAGCGCCACTCGCCGGTAACCTGGTGCTGGCGCCAGCGGTGGCCGCACGTGCAGCGGCGCGAGAACAGCTCCTTTCCATAATCACGATCAAAGTCCCAGCACGGACAGCCGTACTCAACACACGTGTCGACCTGCGCGAGCCTTGTCTTGAGATCCCCGTCGCCATCACGATTCTGCAGCCGCGCGTACACATCCTCGGCCATAGCGCGCTGCAGCCACTCGGTGGCCTCCGCAAAATCGCTCTCGAGCCGCGCCTCGCCGATCACGCTGTGCCGGTACCCGCCGTGGCCGCACTCGCACAGGTTCGTCACGGCGCCCGCGAGGTGCTCGCGGTCGTAGTCTCTACACTCGCAGCCGTCGACGTCGCACGGCTCCATCTCGTCGAGCGTGGTTTTCTTGGCGTTGTCGTAGCCCGACGAGTACGACACCCGCTCCAGCGACGCGTAGAAGCCGTCCAGCAGGTGGCAGAACACTAGCAGGCTGATCAGCTCAGCGCGCTGCTCGTCGGTCAGGCTGGGGTCGGCGACCAGGGACGCCTGCGCGGCCGCGCGCGCGTCGCGTCGCTGCACGCGGTCGACCTTCTTGGTCAGCTTGTAGCCGGCGCGCGCGCCGTGGTAGAGCGTGCCGGCGGCGCCCGCGGCCGATCCCGTGCCGGCGGCGGTGGCGACCACGTTGGTGGCTGCCGCGTGCGCAAAGTGCGCGACGGCCGTGGCGGGCGCGTGGGCGAGGTGGGCCGCCAGCGCGGCCGTCATCTTGCCGCCGATCCATTTGATGGCGAGGATCTCGAGCCCGCCAAAGATGACCATGTTGGGCTGGTTCTGGGCTGGCGTTGGGCGTTTCGAAGTACGGAGAAGGGTGCTCACAGGAATAAACACAAAGTTGGAGTTTAGATCTGGTTCGCTGGGACGGCTCTGTCATTTATTTCCATATCTATTAGTTCTATATCGTTTTCAGCTATGGCTTCGTCTTTCTGGCGTTATCTCGAGCTTCCCAAGAGGGACTTGGGGATTGGTGCCTGAGGGGGTGGGCAAGACTTGGCATTGAACAGAGCTGAAGACGGTGGCGCTCAAAGGCCGCTTCTAGAACGGTCCGGACTCTGGACTTTCAGTTGGATGGGGTGCATGATGGGGTTGCAGCTTCCCGTTTCTCTCAGGCCTTTGCCCCCTTGCTGCCGTATATTATGTGCATGAGTTGTAACCTGGGGAAAGTCTCTTGTCAGAAATCTAGCAAATAGGAGAGGACAATGGGTCGTCGACTGTTATTGACCTTGCTTTCCTCGGGCAATCCTTGCCCCCCCCCTTCATACGATCGACCCGAGTCTGGACCTGCATCCGTTCTACGATCGGGCCTTCACTAGGATCTCGTCGTTGCTGATTTCGAGAAGAAAATAACGAAGAAAGAAACTCCAATTCAGGTCTGAAGCAAGCTGTCTAGCAATTGCTATCTAGAATGTCACCGCCGGGAAACAAGACACACGGGCCGATGCGAACCGACTAATTAGGTCTCGGCCGGAAACCCTAGCTTGATGCCATCACCGGTGACGGTGTGAAGTGATACTTGGACAATCTTAGCTCCGGCTTTGCTGCCCGTCGTAGATGCCTGGGTCCCGACGTCGGTAAGGTATCAGCAAAACGTCTGAGCTTGTACCGACTACCGCCTCGGCATCGATCCCCGATGGGAGGCGCAAGATGTGCACTGCCGGTGCAGCGAGGGACGGTACTGCTAAAGCTTGCGAGGGCTGGGACAAATCAACCCTGTAGGTGTTCGGCAGGTAGGGCCAATCTTCCCCGTCATATTCCACACGAACGTGGCGATTCGCCGACGTGACTGGAGCCAAATCCAGGCAGCAAGAGGCGGAGGGCTTGGCGTTTTTCTCGTACTGGACCAATCCGCCTTATTTTCGTTCATTTGGGGTGCCAAAAGGGTGGGGGACACCCAAAATGCCCGCAAGGCTCTGAGTCGTCTCGCCGAGGAAGCCCGAAATTCCATTCACCCCAACAGGCAAGCGTGTGGCGGGACCTACATGAACGCCTTGGGGGATGTGTATGGACAGCCACGTGCACGCGCGCTGTTGGACAGACCGAGACCTCACCACCTCTGTCGATCATTCTGCGAGAAATGTCATGAAAAGCAACCCAGGTTGATTGTCAACACGTCTGAGTTCCAGAACACAACACACAATGAGCCCGAACGCCAACAACAAGCTAGGCGGCGGGCCGAGCCTGCTCTCGCTGCCGCTGTTCGGCGGGCCGACCAAGAAGGAGAAGGCGCTCGAGGCCGAGCTGGAAGACCTGAAAAAAGCGCACGCAGCCGAGCTCCGGGCGTCGGCGCAGTCGCTACACCAGCAGCGGACAGCACTACAAGCAACGATCCAGACGCAACGGACGGCGGCGGCGACACAGATGGCGACGGTGCGCACACAGCACGACACGATCCGGTCGCAGGCCAACACGATCCAGACGCAGGGCGACACGATCCGCATCCAGGAGGCGACGCTCGAGACGCAGATTGCGCGCGCGCGCGCGCTCGAGGAGCAGCTACAGGGGCTCGAGTACCAGCACACGCTGCGCATCTCGCAGATGCAGCACGACCTCGACGAGGCCCACCGGCAGTTGGGCTTGGCGCTGGAGCGGACTGCGAGCCGCGGGGACAGTAAGAGCGACTCGTCTGCAAAGGACACGCCGCGGACCTCGGCCGGCAGCATCGACCCGCTGCCCGAGCAACTGCAGACGATGCTGGAGAAGGAGAAACGGGGACAAGGATGGGCGGAAAAGGGACAGGCAGACACAAAGACGTTCGCGCGGCTGGTCGACGAGGTGACGGGCCTCCGGGCGGAGCTGGAGCGCAAGAAGAAGGAGCTCATCGTCAAGGACAACCGGCTCGAGTGGCTGCAGCAGCGTGCGGCGGCCCTCGCGCGGGGAGACAAGGAGTCGCCGTTTGTGAAGTATTCATGCTAGTACCCCTTGGAAACTAATTGTTTATTGAAAAGGAGAGGTGTAGCTAAAAAGGAAAATGGCGTCCTTGTCCTTGTTCTCAATGTGAATGAATTCGAGAAGATGTTGTCCATGGGTGCCAAAAATGAATGCGTCAGCCGCGAATCGAACGCGGGGCCCATCGAATTCACAGCTCTGAATGGCAACGATGGATTTTACCACTAAACCACTGACGCTGGATGTGATTCTCGTTGGCTTGAGTTTTCAATGGAGAGCAGCCAGGTTGTTTGAGACTTTATGTGGGTTTTAGGTATGGATTTGTTGGGAAGGTGCGGTGAGCATACTCCACAGCCCACACTTTGGTCTTGCATTGCATTGACGTGCTAGGGTTAGGTGTGCAGATGGAGACCTGAGTCGAGGTTTAAGGAGTGGGTACTCCTGGACATTCAATATTCAATATCAAAGTATCTTCTTCTCGTCTCAGATCTTGGCGACAGTCACACTTTCGCGTTTTTTTTGCTTGTCTGAACCCAACCACCCCCAGCCCCCCAACCCCCACCCAATCAGAGTCTAATTTGCTGGGCGCGGGGAAAACTGGACACTAGCTCAATAATTAGGACGGGCTGCCAAACCAAAGGCGAGATTCTTGTTCTGGTCGCTCCGCTGCCATGTACTAAGTTCATCAATAACCTCTTGCGCGTCTAGTTAAATTTACGTTCCATGAAGCAACACTCATCCTTATCGTTGTTGTGAGCCTCGGCCACACGCTCCTAGGACTCGTCAGCTTTCTGTTGCCGGTTAATCGGTCAGCGAGAATGCGCTTGATTGACACGAAAACGCTGAAGCTGCGACAGTTCCTCGGCAAACCCCCCCCATACGCGATCCTGTCACACACCTGGGGACGTGGCGAGGTTTCTTTCCACGACTTCCATGATGTGTCGAGCCGTCGGCGCCGGAAAGGATTCGCCAAGATCCAGTACGCCTGCCTCCAGGCTCGGAAGGATGCGCTTGACTACGCATGGGTAGACACTTGCTGCATCGACAAGTCCAGCAGCGCTGAACTCTCCGAAGCAATCAACTCCATGTTCAAGTGGTACCGTCAGTCTGCGGTCTGCTATGCCTATATTGAAGATCTTCCGCCCTCTCTGTCGGACTTCGTCGCGTCGGGTATGCCTGGCTCGGCGTTTGCAGCCAGCCGTTGGTTTCGTCGCGGGTGGACACTGCAGGAATTGCTTGCCCCATCCTCAGTCCGTTTCTTTGATAGTCATTGGGGGGAAATCGGAGAGAGGGGGGCTCTTTCATCAACAATTGAAGCGGCTACTGGGATTGAGAAAGGTGTTCTGAACGGTGCACCGTTTGCAGATATCAGCGTTGGTCATCGTATGAGCTGGGCGTCTCAGCGTCAAACAACAAGAGTGGAAGACGTTGCTTACAGCCTCCTTGGCATCTTTGATGTCAATATGCCGCTTCTCTACGGCGAGGGCCACAAGGCATTCATTCGCCTCCAAGAAGCCATCATGAAGCAATCCGAAGACCAGTCCATCTTGGCCTGGCAAGAAGATCCCGAAGCGGCCATCGAGTCTTCCACTAGCGGAATACTTGCCACATCGCCGAAAGCATTCGCCAACTTTCGCACGGCTAAGCATCCGCCTGGGCACCGCATAGTCCCCTTCCAGGACTACAATGCACCCAAGAACCCGGTAGCCCTAACCAACCGGGGCCTGAGGATAACCTCTGTCTACGAAGATTTGGATCCCTTGAAGCCGTTGGAATCTCTGGCTCTCGGGTTGAACTGTGCTGAGGAGGACGATCTGTCCAGAGTAACCGCGATCTACCTAGAGCGAGTGGGAGGCGATCGCTACGTCAGAGCACGTCCGTCCGAGCTGACGAAGTGTCGGTCCTACGGGTCTCAGACAACAGTCTACGGCTTACCAACAGTGCCAACGCCCCAAGGAGGCGAAATAAGAGGCCTTTCAAGCTACGCGAACCCGGCGCAGACAAAAGATCAAGCCTCCAAAGACCCTGGACTCTATCCAACCGATCGAAAGCTTCTACAATACGCGATTTTCGTCAAAGACAAAAACATCAGCACAAGTCACGGCAACTACAAGATCATGGCTGCAGTGTCTCCCAAAGCCGGTGAACCGAGCGGTTTGCTGGAATTTCGCCTCCTCGACCCATCTAAAGAGGACCAACCACTTGTTATCCCGACCATCGGGACGGATCGGCATCGCCATCCGAGATTCAAAGGAGCCGTTCTCCTTGAGAGCCGGCTTTGTTACGTTTTGCTCGTGCTGGGCACGGTGTGGAATCCCGCTACACTCGGATACGACTGCTGGTTCAGCGCTGCCGCATTAGGAGTTGACGACGTGCGTCTAACAACAGACAACACGGAGGGCGGCCTGGATCACATGGCCGTCATGGACAAGGTTAACGCCACGAAGCGGCCAATCGGTACTGCCGACGGGGACAGCACGGTTGTGTCAATCAAGGATGGGTCGTATTCTCTGTCGATTACTGTTGGCCTTGGAAAGGTCCAGGGGTTGGATATGTTTTGTGTCGATGTCCGAGAACCGTCGATATTCCCGGACCCCAGAAGGAAGAATTAGAGGGTTGAAAAGAGAGTGGAATCATGTCATGGTAGTTAAACTCTGGAAAATTTGGACTGGGTGCAACTTGGCATTCTCTTTTTCCCCTGTCGTTGGAGGAAAGTCCCAAAAAACTAGGTTCATGAATTCCATCCTCGCGACGCCACCGCCATTTCAAACCGTGGCAACCTAGATGGTCCGCCCATTCAACTGCTGCTCAACACAACTCGCCTCCTCGAAAATGACAGTCACCGATCGTCCCGGCAAAATCCACACCTGGCCTAATTTGAATGTTAGGTCTTGTTGACAGACGACGTGCCGTAGAACGTATACGGCAATTCCCTCCCCTCCTCGTCCACCGAAGTCTCCTTGTTGAACGTATTGGGGTCAGCCGCCGAGAAGCCGGCCTTTGCCTGGAAGACGGTCACGATGTCGGAGCCGCCAAACAGGAAGAAGCCGAATTCGTCGCCTTTCTTGATGCTGTCGCCCGGCTTGACCGTCAGGTTGACCGACGACACCTGCGCCATGCCGATGGGGAGCACTAATCATTCGGATCGAAAGGGTTAGCAGTATTCCGCGGATCACGGCGACATGTACGTACCGGCGACGAGACCAATATCGCCGTCGGGGCTGCCGGTCGTGTCGATGACGACGCAGCCGCGCGTCTGCAGGAACTGGTAGCCCGACTGGTCCTCCGCCTCAATCTCGGTGCCCACGTCCGGAAGGCTATACGGCGCACGTGCAGCGCCTCCGACGTCCTTGTGAATCCTGCGGCGCGGGACGAGCGTGTTGCCCGTGGCGATGACGTCGAGGTAAGCCGCGTTCTGGATGACGCGGCTGTCGACCACGGTGCCCGAGACGGGCGCGTGGAAGCGGTGGTAGTTGAACGTGCTGAGGAACGAGTGCAGCCAGACGCCGCCGCCGAACGCCGTCGCGTACGGGCTATCCTGCAGCAGCGCCTGGATGCTCCACGTCCAGCCTTTGGCCGTCACCTTGCCGGGGTCGTGGTTGGCCAACGTGCCGGCGGGGACCCACGTGTTGGAGTCGTCGTCGACGCCGTAGCTGTCGGCCCACAGCGAGTCGGCCGGGTACACGGGCGTGTGGTTGTCGCCGGGGCCGGCGACGACGCGGGGCTTCGCGAGCTTGCGCGAGAAGAAGTCGTTGAAGCTGTGGAACGCGGAGCCATCCGGACTCACGCACTCCCAGACCCGAAACAGCGGGGCCTGTTTGAACGTGTCGAATTTGTGCGGCGTCAGCGATTCCGGGGTGGCCATGAAGGCCCCCAAGGCCTTGGCGTAGTCGACGATCCACTGCGACAAGGGCGTCAGCGGTTGGTATTCCGAGGCGGGGGAGATGGCGTTCTGGTACGGTGCCAGGGCCGGCTGGTCGAGCACATAGTAGAAGACGGAGATCTTCTTCAAGACCTCGGTCGACTTGGAATTCTCCCATGGGACCCAATGGAGAAAGCCAGTCATATACTCGATGAAGCTATCGGCATCGACGATTGGAGGAGTCTCGACAATCATGACCCCCTTGGCGTGCTCGCTGGCCGACCTGACGGCTTCTTCAAGCGCGGGCTTGCCTCCGATTTGGGGGAGGATGTTATCGACAAAGTCTTGGACGACCTGGGGAGTCGACATCTTGTCGAAGCTGGGTTGGGGACACTGAGATGAACTGGGGTGTGCTGGGTAATATGAACAAGTGGTCTGAGTGGTTTTGACCGACAAAAGTTTGTGATTAGCAGTTTGTCTGCTTCAATTCTCGAAACTGCCACCGACTCCAACTCTTTATACCCGTAGACCATGGTCCTGAAACCCAGCCGTAACGAGCGAGTCGACGATTCCGAAGGTGAGCGCAACCGGCTGGATGTGACGTAAACTCGCGCTTCGGCCGGCGACGGATCCGCGATCAACGATGCGCTGTGTGACGTCGTGCCGGGCTCCGATGGCGTACGGGGAGTGGCAGATCTATTCCAACCTCGGCCTAGACTCTGGACCCTGAGGGTTGCAAGAGCATGGTCGTCCTATAACAATTACAGCTTCGGGTTCCGATCCACTTCCCTTCCGATCCCCCTTCCCGTCCGATCCTCTCCCATTCCGACCCTCCCCCATTCCCCCTCTGTCTACGTATTATCAAGCACTCTCCGAACTTGCCACCCATCAACCCATTCTGTCCTCCCTCACATTCAGAGACCCTCAGCCAACCCGTCGCATGCAAGCTCAGGCTTCAAACACCGGTCTCGACATGAAGTATCTGCCTCTGGTGACTTGGGGATAACACCGCGACCTGGCGAGGTTGCGAGGCCTTCCCCCAGACAAAGCTGGCCAATGGATGCCACCTTTCAACTAGAAACTCATTGCAAGGTGGCATTCGACTCGACGAGGTGCGACAGCGTGGCTAGCACTTCGGAAGCCCTGCGAGGTGTCACGTCGGAACTCTCAGTCGCTCGACATAAACGCGGGGTTGATTTTCCCGATAAACAGCACTAGATAATGCAGAGAAGTACAAGCTATGCGTCAAGGATCACATACAGCTTAGTCTACGCTGCAGCTCTGGTCAGCTGAGACATGAGCCCTCGAGAAGCTAGAAACTACACATGGCCAGAGCTTACGCGGCCAGTCTTGCACGTGGGCCGTCTATGAAGTGTG